ACATGCGTATTGTTATGGTGCCCCAGACATGTGCAATAATTGCTTTTTAATTGACAATTGCACAAGTATGAACGCTAAACCTTGAGCAACATTGGTGGGCGCTGCGTATGGGGTCGGCCGTTCAAGTATCCGGTGCCGTTAAGAGTGAACAAACAGACAACTGTACAGACAGACAGACCAAAATTTTTGTGTCGAAAGTCCCCAAGAAAGTCTTTAAATCTTGGGAAGAGTGCATGGCCGCCTGGATTGTTGCTCGCGGCGGTGTTTGAAGAATCGGCGGCCGTGTTCAAAAAATCGTTTTGTTGCATCGGCGGGTTTTCGTGGCCTCACGAACTTCATACTTCGCGATTCATTCCGCGCAAATTAATAGCTGTTTTCGCGCTTCCGCACGCGCGCGGAAGGCTTGCTGAGTTGAGTGCAAAGTGAGCGAGAACAAGTCCTAAACACAAAACGCATCGCAAATTATAAGAGTCGGTGGGGTAGCATGCGCGTGTGCACTAGGCGCAGACTATTGGACACAGTCGGTGGCCGACGATGTTGGCAAATTGTCTGGTCACTCCAGGCTGGCGATGCCAACGACAGTACTAGCGATCCAAAATAGGGTAGATGGTCCACCGGTCTTCGAAACATCGGTGGCAGTGAGAAAACGCGGGTCTCGTCTGGCAATGCGGGGTGCTCAGAGTAGCGGGGGAACAAAGGACGAAGGGTTGCGGTACAAGAAGTGGTCGGGGAGAGCGGCAACTAGAGGGGCGCGGAGGCATGGTCGGCGTTTAACAATAAGGATGTATGTTCACCTCGCCGATGCCTGATCGGTGGTCGAAATTGGTTTCCCGGAAGTTAGCAGACCGCCGGTTTTGTTCGCTGTGACCGATCAGCGGCGCTTGGAGACATTCGTTGTAAGTGCGATTTTGTGCCATTGAACTAATGTATATTTTCACGGTCACGCGAAGGGAAAGTTTGCTTTAAATGGGGCCGTTATATGTGGGCTCGACTGTAATAATTTTTGTGCCCCAAACAATTGCTGTTGACACATCTGCCAACTTTTAATATTCTTTTCAAATGTCACCATTTTTAGAGCTCACATATAAAATCATCTTTGTTATTGCCGGTAGCTTTTATGTTAAGTTCAGTTCCACTTTAGGAAAAGACTGATTTTGGAAAGATACAATTATGGATTATAGTGACGAATTTTGAAAGAGCCTAATTTTTCAGGCCAGTTCAGTTGAAGGGCCTGCGGGCAGCAGTGAACCCGTTTGTGATTGAAATGTATCACAGCAACTGAAGTAATTTAGGGGCGAAGCTCCTTAAGGCGTGGGCTGTGCGTCCCCTGTATGTAGCCACCTCTCGTTTAGTTCTTGCAGTGTTCACTAGATGGCGGTACTTGTAGCTGATGATGAAAAGATGCAAGATGTTATAAACTAGGCGGCGGTGCTTGTAGTTTATGGTGAAAGATGCGAGATTTCATAAAACAGGAATGATGTGACATAAGGCACGTGTCATTGGTGGAAGGCAATGGTTCGATTTAGTGTGGCAATGTACGCTAGGGGGAGCGTTGTAGTAAAATCGAAGATGCAAAACGTACGGAGGATTCATGGTTTACCAAGTTTACCTCCGGAGCTTCACCCACTCATCATCATTCAATTCGTGGATATGGCAGCACATTTTTACTCCTTACTTGGACACTTTGGGAACGAACTTCATGAACCTGCATGTTAGTGGTTTGCTGATCATTCGAACAAGTCGGCCGGCATCCATGAGAGATAATTTAAATCGGGAGCCCCTGGTTTTCATCGCTTCACACAGAAGTCTGCCCAGAGTGATCACAAAGTATTGTAAAACCAACCAAACTAAATTTATTAAGATGCAAAACAAAGAAAGAGCAGTATTTCTCAGCAGATTAGATTTGGAATGCTGTGCTGGAGCTCTTGGGCATGTTACAAATGGTGCTCATTGGGTCACAATGGAAGAAAGGAAAGCATATGAAAATAATTGATTGTTCTTGTTAAATTAACCTTAGTCTCGCACAAAGAACACGTCAAGGGAGACCCTGATCACTTTCAATTTTTATTGTGTTAAATTAACCATTGAAATAAGCATGTTTTGGAGCATAAATAGCATTATATATTCTGGCATTAGGTTTCACTGCTCACACGAATGCATGATGGCATTTGTTTCTGGCATATCATTGACTGATGAATTAGTTTTATTTACTGTTAAAAGCTCCATGAACTTAATCAACAAAATCACCTGCCGCAAACTTGTTGTAGCACTTAATTTGTGATAACGAGTCTAGAGGTAACTTCTTTAGGTTCTGCCTGCACAGTGGGGGCATTGTTTGTACATTGTAGAGCCCGACAATCAATTGGAACTCTGCTTAACTTTACCAATTTCATAGCCCACCTCGTGTTTGAATTAACCCGCTTTTACAGTATACTTAGTTCATTGCTCATTCATATATAGTAATTTACAACTTTGTAAATTAGCAGGTCTATGTTAATCTCCTATTTCTTTTGTTTTTATGTTTTTCTGGCAGCCTGCTGGAGTTTATGGAAGACGCAAGAGAGTGTTTTGAGCAGCCTTGGTTGAAGGCAATGACCAACGAGTTCCACGACCAAGTGAGCTGGCTCGGCTTGGCACTCGCTGGTGAATGGAAGCGTGCATGTGCCGTTGGCCCGAAGTTGTCACCAAAAGTCTTGGAAGCATTGGGCGTTTCTCTGAGCGACACTTACTGTCCCGTGGCGCTGTGGTGGCAACCTACTGTCAAGGACGCTGTTGCAAAACTTTGTCAAACTCACAACATCGAGCCTCACGAGATTGCCCAGGTAGGTGACATAGCCAGCCCATGTGCTGCATTAACAACTGTTTGTGAACACCCCTGGACATCATTATGGCATTTCCGGGGACAAGGTAAGCCCAGCTAGCCACTTGACCGTGCAAAACTGTGTTGTGGGCGCCGTGTGCGAGACCGGGTGCATCACTGATAGCTCACACACATGAAGTCGTAGGCACGGAGGAGAAAATCAAAGGTAGCGCAAGTGCAAGGCATGCTGCAACAACCAGCCAACACAAACTCGTCACGTACGTTTGTTTGCATAGATGTCGGTGTCGCGAGGGGCTTCACATCTTGTTCAGTCATGCGGCGTGCATTTTAAAATTGATTTTAAATACGTTCTAGGCTATATCTGCCTTTTTATTGTGTGCATGTGTGCATGCACTTGACAAGAGCACATTATCATACCACACTATTGAAAGATTAACCGCAGCAGCTCAAGGTTGATAAACACAACTATGCAGTACATAATGCCTTCTTCGTTTGCCTGTGCTTACCGTATTTACTCGTTTCTACCGCGCCCTCGATTGTAATGAGCACCCGATTTCCACCTTGTACCTGTTTTTATGCATTTGTTGCATGTATTTCCCTCTATAGCGCTGTTCATTCTAAAAAAATATCATTGAAAATATATTTCACAGCGTTGTCTGTGTTACCATTTCATTATTCTCTGATTGGCGAGATTCTAAACATTCTTTGTTGCCCTGAAGAAAATGGGTATCATAAAGATTTGTTTTCAATCACTTCGAGTGTTACATTCTTCATGTTGTTCATCTTAATTTGTTACAGAGTGCTGACACATGGTCCGCCTTTCTCGACATCTTGGCTGCCAGCCAACCACACACGACAGAGCTTATGCGGCAAACAGCCGTGCTGACTGAACCATCTAGGTTTTCCATGGTGTCGAGGACATTCACAGCCTGATTTGATCTCTTCAAGTTTTAATATTTATTGCACATTGCAGAAGTGAACAAAGATAGTTTTGTTCCATCATTAAAATTTCCAGTTGATAGTTGGCACTGGCCTTCCCTTGCCATCATACATGGTGTGCTGTTATTACTGACGAATATTTTTCAATGCACTGATGGATTACGTGAATTATACACCGCTGTAGGCGTGATGATTGAGTGACCTCAATATTGCAGTGGATTGCCTCACGAATCGATCGAGAAACTTTGTTGAGTCTGTCGAGGCAAGTTTTGACGTCTCCTCATAGGAGGCCTAGGCCCGGCCACCTGAACCTGCTGATTTCTTATAATAAAGTTTATTCCTCCTCCTGTCGAAACGTGGCGGTGTTACAGGAGCCTGTCGTGCGCTTTATGGGCTTTCTTTCGACCCCATGAGCACTCTGGAAACTACACTGGGAGGGATGGCATGGGTGAAATGAGTCAAGTCAGCACACATAGGCCTGTGCAGGGTTCCCCTTTGAAAGGGGGGGGGGGGTAAATGCTTTTTGCAATGCTCTCCCCCTGAAATATGAGTGAAACTTTGGGCCCTCCCCTTTAGAGTGACTAAGGAAGGCAGTTGCCCGCCGTGCCCTCCCCTGTGTGCACGCCCATGTCAGCACTTGTCATCAGCTCGAACGTATGTGATGAAACGCAATTGCTTTCTCCCGTTGGTTACTGTTGCACGAGTGTGGCTCATTGTGTAATTCTAGGCTCAACAGAGGGTGGGACCAATACGTGGTGACCCCTCGTCGCAAGATGCGCATCTGATGCAGATGCCGCTCTTGATTTCAGTCGGCTATTGGACGATAGCATGCCGTCTGTTCGACGTCGAACAGCGGTTGCCGGCCGCTCCGAAGAGGGTGTGCGCTGGAATCTGTATGAAAAAACGGGCGGCTGAGAAAATGACCCCAGGCTTCGCTTCGAAACTCCCTCTGCCGCACACGGCTGCCAATGTTATTTGACTGAGATAGGCATAACAGTGTCTGCTATCTGCAAGATGTGTTTTCTCACGAAGCACAAGTTGTGGCTCATGAGTCATAAACTTATATTAAATGAGCAAACCTCGTCACTATGCGTCTGTTGGAAAAGCGGCATAACGCTACAAACTCAACAAATACACCGTAGGCACCAAGTTCTAATCTCGCGATGCCAATGAACATTTTGAAACTATGACAGCGAACAAACAGCTGCCGACACTCACGGCGGCAGATTAAACGAATGATTCGTCCAAGTGTTTATCGACGTATACATGGACATCTACGAATCGATCTGCTACTGAGCGATAGCAAGCGCACACAGCTACACTGACACATGGCTCCTTGCTGCCGCATAGAGCTGATCTCTATAAAGGTGCGCAGCTACTGGAATAATGTGCTCGGGCTGTCTTCGCTGTCTGCATGGACGTTTGCTCTACTGTCTGCGCGGGTTTTCCCGCGGTTTGTTTCTTTTTTCCCCCTTTTCCACATTCTTCCAAACAGCAGAAGTTAACTAAGGGCGCGTGCGCCCCCACAAGACCAAGCATATTCAAAACAGCGCATCTGTTCCAAGCCTACCTGCCCACCTGAAGGAACTCACTTGTCATCCCCCTCCCCCTCCTGATGAAAATATTCTCGTGCTACCCCTGCTTCTTCGGCCACTTCGAGCTTTCGTCTCTACTCGACTTCTTCTTCATCCGTCGTTCCCACCTCTCCACCGATGGCGCTGAGTCATGCTGAGTCGGGAAAACTGCAGGAGTTGCAGGAGATAGCACCATTTTTTTATCCTCCGCCGCCATTTTTTTTGCGCTAAACGCGCACCTTACGCGGCACATGCAGTGCCGCACGACGATGTGGAAGTGAACGGCGCCGTATTTGATTTGGGTTGTCATCTGAAAAGCATGCAGTACGCTTTCAAAAGAGTAACGCCACATGTTCTGTGTGCGCTGCTAAGCTGAACATCAGGGGGCGCATTCTGAAGTTCTTGAGGGAGGCAGAGGGGGAAAATGCTGGACGCCGTTTATGAATGTTTGCGCATGTGATTTCATATGTCCACGTGTGTGTGCACACCTAAAAAAAAATTAGTTGAAATCCCCATACCAGTCCCCTGGCGATGCCGCTGCTTGCTGATGGTGCTTATTGTCATGGTGTCGTCGGAGGTAAGTGTGGTGCACTCAACGCGGCTTGAGTAGCGGCAGACACCATCCAAGCCTTCTTGCTTTTCGGATGCTAATGCGTAAATGTATCAAATGCAAAGCATTTCTCACTGAACTTCGGTGACTTTGAGTGTACCTATCTATCTATCTATCTATCTATCTATCTATCTATCTATCTATCTATCTATCTATCTATCTATCTATCTATCTATCTATCTATCTATCTATCTATCTATCTATCTATCTATCTATCTATCTATCTATCTATCTATCTATCTATCTATCTATCTGTCCGTCTGTCTGTCTGTCTGTCTGTCTGTCTGTCTGTCTGTCTGTCTGTCTGTCTGTCTGTCTGTCTGTCTGTCTGTCTGTCTGTCTCTGTCTGTCTGTCATCTATCTGCCTCTGGCTTTTAGCTCTCCTGGCCGTTTACATAATGGTATCGATAACAAACTTGGTATGGCATTACGTGACTGTATGAAGAACATATTTGACTAGTCATAACATGTATATCATAGATGTCATGATTTACATTTCATGATCCTGCAGTCATAGGCGTACCAGCCGGGGGGGGGGGGGGGGCAAGTTGGGCGCGAGCCCCCACTGAGAAAATATGGGGGGCTGAGCCCCACCACTTTCGACAGTGGTCACTCTTGGCTGCACGTTGGGGAAACCAAGAAATAGAGTGTAGTTTTTCAATCCAGCAGTAATTACTCAATTATGTTTCTACGGGAGAATGAAATTGTTACGAGGCTGTGTTACAATATAGTAATATTTTGCCGATATTCCCGCTTTGGTTTCTTTCACACACACACACACACACACACACACATATATATATATATATATGTGGTTGATGAGTAAAGTAAGCTTGCCTCCCCCCCCCCCCCAACTTCCACTTGCGAAAAAGTTGGTACGCCACTCTTGCCGTGGTTTCGTTCACACGGCATGTTGCAAAACTGGTATTGTATGACATCATTGCATGGTGAACACAAGTGACAGACCCTGACCTAAAAATCATGACATGTGTGTCATGTAACAACATGACTACGTTCCACGCTCATGATGCGCTTGCGGCCGTTTCACTAGCGTTACATATACCAAATTCGGTATTACGGGACATGAATAGATGGCGAAGGTATGATACTGGTGCAAACATGATAAACATGAGATGCGTGTCATGTAACAGCATGACTACATGATGCGCTCATGTCCGTTTCGCTAGCTTGACATGTACCAAAGTCGGTATTACGCGACGCCAATGGATGACCAAGGTATGTGACTAGTGCAAACATGACAATCATGAGATGCGTGTCATGTGAGAACATGACTGCACGCCACTGTCAAGACGCCAATACATTTCGACGTGACGCGGTGCGCCTGCTCGCCGACGTTCATTTCGTCCCGTCACGCCAGGCGCCGGTCCTGCCATACATAGAGTTACCCAAAATTAACTAGAGGGCACTCTGGCGCTGCGATCGTTCAGCGACCATGGGAATGATTGGTAGTACACACATTTGCCTAAGCTTCGTACTTGCGGGCGGCGAATCGGACTTGCGGCATCGTTTATTGCTGTGTTTCAGTTTTGTTTTGAAATAAAAAACAAACCCTTTTCAACTTAGTGACTTGATTCGAAATGGAAAGCTTAAAAGAAAAACGTTGTGAAGTGCAAACGGTGAACATTTGCTAATTTAAGTTTTCACAAAAAAACAGCTTCAAGCCACACGGACACACACGGAGCCAGAAGCAGGCCAGAAACACGAAAATTAGACAAATGTGTGTACTACCCATCATTCCCATGCTCGCTGAAGCGCCGTGTGTTGCAAACGTGCAGCTCCCATAGACACTAGCGCCAGAGTTCTCTCTAGTGTATATTGAGAAACTCTATGCTGCCATATACTCGCAGGCGCGCGCCGCGCTGCGTTGCTATGACGCATGCGCATTTCAGCGCGTCTGGCGTCCCTCCGCCACGAAAAGTGGGAGACGCAGTGTTGCCTGGGTAACGCATCGGCGCGAAATGCAGCATGTCGCATTTCGCGGTGGTTGCCGTCGGACGATGGTCGCGCCTGGCGTCAGTGCTCGCGTTTTGCTAACGTATAGCGTCGCTGCCCCCGGTGTGCGCGCGCGTCAACGCCACATTGGAGTATATTGGGCTCTTCATGATGCGCTCGCGGCCGTTTCGCTAGCTCCACATATACCAAATTTGGTGTTACGTGACGTCAATGTATGACGAAATGTATGACTGGTGCAAACATGATAATCCTGACAAGCTTGTCATGTAGGAGCATGACAACACATTACGCTGATATCGGGCTCGCGGCCTATTTGCTAGCTCCACATATACTAACTTTGGTATCACGGGACCTGAACAGATGACGAGGGTAAAAGACACATCAAAACATGATAAACATGACACGGAAGTCATGTATGGCATCATTTACCTCCACCTCGTAACGTTGTGCTGATTTTAAAGTGACATATCAACATTTCTCACTCGAGCTTCTCACATCATCGATTCCCACGTTACGTGGAATCTGCCAATTTTTTTTTTCAAATCGCACTCGCGTTGAAGTCGTAATAATTGGTTGGCAGATCTCGGAACGCATATATTGAAAGGCTTCATTTTTGATCAGCTCATTGCGGCGTCGGAGACACCGCGAGTTCACGTTTGCGCGAAGAAAGATCGTGAAATGCTGTCGGCATAATTAGATTCGCGTGACGCATTCACATACTGCGTCAGTGGCAGGGTCACCTACTTGCGCACCCATCTCGCGATTCCATTCAAACAGTTGTCAATGACACGTATAACTCCGACGAAGATTATCATATTTGTGAGTCGTGACTTTTGCATCCAACTTTTCAGCTGCACGGCGCTCAAACATTAGTTCTTTTTACGCTAGAGGCTGAATGCAGCAAACTTACCATCTTAGAAACAGTGCAGCGTTGATTTCATTGCTACTGATGA